CCTCTCAGCTACATGCCCTATCCCAGCCCCAGGAAAACACACCCTAGTCCGACGTTTCCTATCTCTGGTACAAAAAGTCCTATCTAAAACCTCACCTGGCTGTCCCCAACTACCACGACCCTGAATCCCGGAATCATTTTCTTCATTCTTCGCTGCACCGACTCTAGTTGCAATAAGACCTCTGCACTCTTATTACTTACACTTCTCGATATAAAACCCAATACTCTGTTTGCCTTATTTCGAACATTAACGCACTGTTTTCTAGACCGTAGGTCCGGGCTTACAAGTACCCCTAGGTCTCTTTCACAAGTCGACTTCTCTAGGTTGATGTTGTTAAGGCTGTATACATTGACAGTATTTGTTCTTCCAATATTAAGTATGCTGAATTACAGGATTGCGCTTGGGAACTTCGTGTTTCGTTTTTTCTAACGTGGTTATCAGCATAAATATCAGGGGCGGATCCAGGAATATCAAAAGGGGATCCAAGAAGTTTTGGGTGGGGGAACACGGCTGAAAAAATAGTCTGAAAATGCTGGGATGGCTCCTCCCAGCATTTTGAGACCATTTTTAAGCCGTGTGCACTTGATATTAGGTGATATTCTGAGGTCAACAGTTAATTACTTTTTACTATACTGAACAAAAACGCCCGAGTACAATACTGCACTAAATAAAAAGTATGGAATTTTCTGATGAAAAATGGGATCCGGACCCCCAGGACCCAGCCCCCCTGGATCCGCCTGTGTGTGTGGATTTACTGGTTTCATTGCAATAAGACACCTCGAAAGAGAAATGAGGGGGAGTATTTGCTCATAACATATCCTTCACGGGAAGGTCCTTACTGGTGTGATGATAAACAGGAGCTGCCTTTCATTAGGTTTTCTTTATTACTTCTCTTCATAATTATCTAGGTTGTTGCGTCATTATTATAAATTTATAATTGTCACCATAGCATTATTGCCCTGTTCCTGAGGATATAAAAAAGAACTTATAGTCCTCAATTAGATAACTTAATTAAACTAAATATTGTTTTTTTTAATTAGACACCTAAAATCTAACTTAATCATTACGATTGGGGAGGCCACAGTGTATTTCATCACTTAATTGAGAGGCGAAAAATCAGTTATATTATCCCTCTTGGTGTGACTAATAATAATAGCATATATGGCACCCACACGAACTTCATCGTTAATATAACATGTTTTATTTATTATAGTCCTTGAAGGGACTAACAAAAATTGCCGTAGCCGACGGTATTTCACGTCGACCTAAGCGGGGTATTGGGAAAAGTTTTCAACTAGCAATAATCGCACCTCGGATAAACCTCATTGGTTACGATACTGCCACTGCGCAAAGCTGGCGTTCACTGTGGGTGGCCAGTTCTATCTCCCTGGCCTGAGGACGTTGGGTAGAATTGTAAATAATAAATAGTATTTCTGGGTGTTTGATAATCAAAAAGTATATTTTTTTATGTATTAATATTTCATTTTAAATTTCCACATTTAATGTAGTAGGCGTTTTAATAACCGTTGTGTACAGTATAGTACGAGTAAGTTATCAACGAGATAAAATTAAATCGTTTATTACACTGGAGGGTCTTGGGGAAGATATATTTGTCAGGTGATACAGTGGGTTCATGGAGGTGGAGTCTTATATGAAAAATTAATCCTAATATAGCCCATTGTTCTATATTGCAAGAATTGTAGCATATAAAAACATGTATTTATTAAATAAGACGACCATGGGGTGATTACCCTTTTCTCCGATTTATCAAAGAAAATGTAACTATTTTCGTGGTAGACTAATTTTAAATATGATTTCAATTTTACATAGAGCTGCAACCTCGTATGCATTTATTTTTTCACTAATGTCTTGCTACTACTTAATTTATTGTCAACAATAACACCTAACGTATATATTTAATTTCGTCCTATCTATTGCTGTAAGGGAGGATTTTAAGCTTTTTTTTTCCATCTTTCAATTGAATTATTTTCTTATTATATCTGTGTAAGAGGAGATACTTCTATATATATATATATATATATATATATATATATATATATATATATATATATATATATATATATATATATATATATATATATATATATATAATTTTATTTTATATCTCTTTTTTGTCCTATTATATATTATCTTATTTTCTCTGTGTTTCTATTTATATTTTCTATGTTATTTCTGTCTTATATAACCTTCTTTAATTGTCCTTTATTCTTACCGTGTCCCATGAAACATGCTTGAGGTAGTGCAAAATGAAGCCTTTCGCATCATTCTAGGATGCCCAAAATCAACCAGAATAGTAAACATGAGGAAAGAGCTCGGACTGCCCTCCCTATCTGAGAGGATAGCTCTACTTAATACCATGTTTTGTGTCAAAGTTTTGAAGAACAATGGTCCCCAAACTACAGCTCAAACTGAGCTGATGTTCTATCTAAGCAATCCCGACTATCTCGCTAACCTTCCACAAGAGACTCTCTTTGGGGCGTGGCTTCATAAAAGTGTTGCAGATCTCTTGAAACTGAATGTCCCAATCACTCCAGACGAGCCCATTAATGCCATTCCTCCTTGGCTGGATATATCAGTTTCTATTAATTACACTCCTGTTGGTAGTAAGCAAATGTTGAACACCGATGTGATGAGATATGTCACACTAGAAACTATTAACAGACACATACTGTAGAGAGTATTAAATCAAGTGAATGTTATGATTTTACTGATGGTTCTGTGCAGACAAACACAGGTAGAACAGGCTGTGCAATTGTAATATATAAAGAAAAAGAGATGATAGTGTCAAACAAACAAAGGCTGAACAACTGGGCCAGCACAACACAAACTGAACTAACTGGAATATACTTAGCTACAGACTACCTTTAAGAAAATGGAGGTGGGGTGATATTCTGTGACTCAAAGTGCTTTGAAATTTGTATGCGATATTAAAAGAAATGTGATAACTTCCAGTGAGAACAACTCTAGAATTGAATTTGTGTGGATTCCGTCCCATGTTGGAATTAGGTATCATGACCGTGCTGATAGACTGGCCAATGAGGCATGTAAGAAAGAAAATGTTGACTGTGACCTTGGCCTGTCCAATGCTGTAATTAAAAACATTCAAGTCAGAATCATGAACCCTGATCTAGAAGAACTGAGAAATGCAGAGAGACCTGGCAGTTGTAGCATTAGTAAATACAAGTGATCGCTGGCCCATCGTGCCCTTGTGAAAGTTTTGACGCTCGTGACAGCGTACAGCTAATGAGGGTGCGCCAAGTCCGTAGACTTGCATCGTTTCCATCGTAAATAAAATTGTTAATTAAAATACCTTCCTAAATAAACCATCGAATGGGACCAGGTTTGTTCCACTCTACGAATTTTTTGCGATTTTTCCACCAAGTTTGATGAAAAATGATTGTGCCGTTTCGGCTGCCCAGAACAGACACACACACACAAACACACAGACACACGCCTAGTCCTATAGTATATTAGATGATAAATTTTGTGACAAGAGGTACCGTTATGGCCAGCATAAGGACAGAACTAGACAATGTGATATAGTTGTGACCATAATTAGGCTAGGATACAGACACATCTGGCAAGATAGTAACGCTGTACCCATACCAGAACACTCAGCATGTAAACTTTGTGATAAACCTTTAAAGCATACACTTGAACACTATATTATTGAATGTGACACTGTCAAAGACTTTTTACTGGAATTAGCCCTCCTGGGCACAGGTCAAACGACCCACAACGGGGCCTCGGGGGCGAAGAAAAAGAACAGAAAGAAATTGAAAATAGAGAAGAAAAAGGTTATACTGTGTTAATCTACACCACAAAGATGCCGGAAAACCAGCTTTTTAAAGTGAGGCTGATTGTATAAGTATGGAAACACAGAAGAAGGCAGAGCATCCTACAGTTTGGCTGTGTGAGGAAAGAAGGAGGCACTATAATGAGTTATTCTCGTGTTGTTATATTCTAATAAAAGTCTGGGTGGTGGCAGGCTACCCTTGAAAGTATAATAAGTGTTGTAATAAGAATGACATGGTTTCCCCAGACTAATCCATGGTTTAGAATATAATTAAAACAGTGTATACTTCAGAAAGGTAAGGACATAGAAATTCAGAAAATACAATACTATATATGAAAATAAATGAAGTAAAGAAAAGAATATTGAGTTGGAAAATATAAGCAGAGAAATATAAGATATATAATTATACTGTAGAAATAAAGACACAGCATATGAAATTATTAAATATATACACCAGAAAAAATTAATATAAAAGATAGACATGAGCAAGAAAATAAATAAATAAAGTAGAATATAAAGAATATAAATATATTGAAAAATAAAAGAGAAGAAATATATTTAATAGAATAAATCTGAAGGATAGAATAAAAAGAAAAAGTCCGCCCTTTACAGTGTGACCGACATCCTCAGAGAAATGGTGGGCACCGCGGGCAAGACGTGTGTTACGAGCCCACGGCCTTGTCGGCGGTACACAGGATGCCAAATCCACCGAACATTGCCCGTTAAAGTACCTGTATCATGAACTTTGTAATTACTACATTGAATCAGGGGTGCTTGAGGACATTCTTGCTGTTTATTCCAAATTTGCTAGCCTACACTGATTAGTCTTCAATTAGAATATTACGTCCAATGTATATGAACCACTCCTGCATGACAGTGAACAGTGACATCACGCACATAACGCTGACCTATATATACTGGTAATGAATATGATGTATTTCTTTAAGTACGAACCTTGAATATGTTTTTTCTTGTCTCTGTGGCGTGGGGCATACTAATATAGACCAATCACATTAATGGCTATTAAGCTAACAAGAATTAAAATAATGCATAGAAAAGAAATACAATTAGATTAGTGTATCTTAAACATATATAGTTTCATTTTCTTTGATTTTTCATAGAAAACAGCCATTATCATAATGGTAGTGTAAGATAGTTAATACAGGATATTTATGTGTTCTAATACAGTATACTGTAATTATGGCACAGTTGTGGAAAAGTGTTCCTACACCCCCTGTAGTAACCCGTGTCTCCAAATGGCACCGTTGGAGTTCTAGTATCACTATTTATGAAGGAATGGGTAGTGGTCGTGTAACGATGGGCGTGATTGGTGGATAGGTTTGCTATAGGTCGTAAAGGTTGGCCGTTTGGAGACACGGGTTAAAAGTTAAAACACTGGGAGATAGGAACACATTCTTGCAACTGTACAAATAATGGGAAATATTTAAAAGTTGCCAACATCTACTTATATATTGAGTCTTATAGAGGGAGAAATCGAAAAAAAAAAATTATTCCATAGCATTTCCGCCGGAAATGTATATTTTTCGAGTATTTTAACCGATAAAATTACCAACAATATAACTTGTTCAAAGTGGACAGGGCCAAATTTCAAGTAGAGGGAAAATATGGGATAAAAAAATATAAATATATAAATAAATAAACTTGAAAACCTGACCTAACGTTACCCAAACTTTTAAAAATTCTAAAACTATAAAAAAGTTTACCTTTTCATATTTTCGGTGTTTAATCGCTGGTATTGTTTTCGGTGCTCAGATGAGGATGGATCCATAAACTCAAAAGTTATTCTCAACATTTTTACAAGTTAGGTTTTCAAAGGTTTGTTTGGTGTTCCTTTTAAAGTATTTTACCCCACATTTTACCTCAACTTAAAAGCCCGTCTACTTCGAACAGCTAGTATTGTGGGTATTTTTATCGATTAAAATACTCGAAAAATATAAATTTCCTACTGAAACGCTATAGAATAAATTATTATTTTTTTTTCTCTCTCTCTCCCTATATGACTCAATTTATATTTAGGTATTAGCAACGTCTAACTATTAACCCAAATTATGGTGTAATATTAAACATTTGACGATGATCTTTTGGGTATTATTGTGGTTTCGGTCATCCAGCTAATTTTAGGATTTAAGTTACCACCGTCCGAGAGAGGTTTAGGTTATATATATATATATATATATACTGATAACCACAAGGAAAGAATAAAACACGGAGTTCCCAAGCGCTTTCGTTTAAAGACTAAAGACTGCTACCCTGTTTAATAGTCTATTAACTAGGTATGAAAGAACAGCAGCTGGATGGTGTTAGGGAATAAGGACTTCATTTTACCCTGACCTTCATGTCATATCGTGAGTGATTCTGGTACTGGATATGTTCTTATTTCACCCGTTAGGAAAATCATAATAATAATAATACACACAATTGTTTTATTTAATTAATTTTTCATTGCATTTATACTGAAAACTTTGGAACATCCTAATAGATTATTGCTCTTTATATAATTTGTTTATGTTGCACAAA